GGAAAATAAAAATAGCAAGGGAGGACTTGAGCAAAGTGAAGGAAAAGAGGGCTGATGGAAATGATGTGAAGAGTAGGAGTTGACCTATCCTGGCATGTAGGCTAGTGCCTCCTCCCCTTTCCCTGTAAAATCCAGTGGTACAAGGAATCAAAGAACTTGACATTGAGTTATGAAGGAGCAATGAGGTTTGCAATGCATACTCTGTTTAACCAAAAAATATGAGGAGGGGGAGACAGCTTTGAAGTGGAGACGGTCTGGTGTTGTTTGCCTGTTCCAGGTGGCCCGCCCACCTTCCCACCCCCAAATTAGCCTGCTAGAGAGCAAAATCCATGAATCTGCTGCTGCTTGGTAACACCACCCCCTTTCCTGTCCTCACTCTGGCAGAAGGTTCAGCACCCCATTGAGTTCAGTAAAAACAAAGAGTCATCAGTGGGGGAGCAGAGCTCCAGTCTCTTACCCGCCCACCCAGCATCCTCTGCTGGTGGAAACACTGCACAGTGCATGGAGAGGCTAAAGACTGCATGCGTTTTAGTGCTAAGTGCTCAGCCCAGACCTCACGTGGTGCACAGAGGTGGAAGGCAGAGGCCAGGCTTCAGTTCTACTCATCAGGGACGGCCTCAAAGGGCAAGTGTGATTTGGGTTGGTCCAGCCTGGTTACCAAACCTGGGGCAAGTAAGCCACCACACTCCACCCCAAGTCCTCAGTAGACATTGCCACTAGATCCCAGATGTAGTCTGAGAAACACCCTATAGACAGAGCTGCGGCCTGCCAGACCAAAATCAGAAGTTAGCACATGAGATAAATCTTTTTTTTTTCAGACCTCATAGAGAAGAATAGATATGGGTTAAAAACTGAAATATAAACACACATAATTAGCCTAGGCCTATACCATGGTCAGAATCATCAATATCACTGTCTTCCACCTCCACACCTTGTCCCACTGGAAGGTCTTCAAGGGCAATAACAGGCATGGAGCTGTCAGCTCCTGTGATAATACTGCCTTCTTTTAGAATACCTCCTGAAGGATCTGCCTGAATTTTTTTTTTAATAAGTAGAAGTAGTATACTCTAAAATAACAATAAAAAGTATAGTATAGTAAATACACAAATCAGTAACATAGTCATTTATTATCATTGTCAAGTAGTATGTCCTGTATATCACTGTATGTGCTATACTTTTATATGACTATCAGTGCAGTGAGTTTGTTTTCACCATCATCTCCACAAACATGTCAGTAAAGCATTGTGTTGCGACGTCACTAGGTGACAGGAATTTTCGGCTCCATCACAATCTCATTGGACCACCTTCGTCTATGCAGTCTATAGTTGACCTAAAAGTCAATATGCAGTGCGTGACTGTCTTTATTATTTATTGTGTGTCTCCTTCCCCGACTCCCAAAAGTAAGCTCATTGGAGCTTTTTTGCTATTTCTGTTGTTCATTAATGTGCCTAAAATAGTGTCTGATATCTATTAGGTGCTCGATAAATATCTGCTAATGGATTAATAAATAAATCATCCTTTTGCTCCTTGTGAATACCTGACTAGTCATAAGTAACTGATAGAAAGTGATTATTTTATAACAGAATCCCATTAGTTAAAATATAAAGATTTAGAATACAGCCACCCTATTTTTGAGGTTAAATGATTACAAGAAAAGGCTTACAGATTAGACCTGACTTTTTATGTCTTGATTCCATTCTATGATGCTTGATGCCAAAATTCCCGTGGCAGCTTAATTCCTTGTTCAGCTGTGAAGCGGGCCGGGATGCACTCAGAGCACAAAGCCTCTATGTAAGGGGTCATCGTAACTCTGGTGTATGCTTTCTCCATTCACCTCTATTAGCTTCGGCTCTGGGTCTTAAACAGAATGCAGTTTTAAGTGTTGCTGATTTCTAGCCCCTCGTGCAAAAATGTAGGCTCCATCAAAACCTAACTTGGATGAACCAGATCGGAATAATAACAGCCAGAGACATTCTCCATCTGTAGAGGGCAGGGGTCTATGGGTTCCTTGGAAAGCTGTTGCTCACAAGGACGAGCTGCATTTCAGCAGGGCTTGCAGGTCAGGAATTGTTTTCTTAGGCCATGGGATGGGAAAATGCCTGCACTTATCGCCCATTCAATGGTTATATTTTAGGTCCATGATTTTGTCTAGTCCAAAAATTCACTTACTCTATTTCTACATATTTACAGGTAAGCCCAGAGATATACATATCTCTTTCCCAGTTCTCTTGTTTATCTTTTCCATAATTAAAAATCAACTCTGATGCTATTAGCTTGCTTTAAATCAAGAAATATCTTTGTTTTCCCTTAAAGAGAATTGTCATGTTTTGTGTTTGTTTTCACTTTTGTTTTTAATATCCTAAAGGATCCTGTAAGCTAAGAGGCCATAGCCTAGGTGTCGGTAGCTGCTAACAAAGCAAAACATGCTGAGCAAAGATGGTTTAATACATTATGTAGCTGGGGATGGGAAGGCATGGGCAGGAGTGGAGGGGTAGCCTTTATCATTTGTGTGTTGATGTTTATTCTTCTGATGTTAATTAAACAAAATTCATTTACTTGTAGAAAAGGCTAAGAAATTCACCTTATAATTAGAGTTTTATCCCAAGGACTGAAAGCATGCCTAGAAACATAAGCTCACTCTCTGAGAAGTTCATTCTTTGAGACCTGCTATGTTAGACTGGCATGATCTATTTAATTCTTTCCATTAGAGACATCCAAAATTTTCCAGGCTGTGTGATCTGTGAGCATTTAGCTACATTGTTTTTAGATCCCAGTGGTGACGAGGCCCTGAACATGGGTTCAATCTGTTTAGGGGACTTGGGCTGTGCCAAGAGCCCCACGTTGCCCTGGTTCTCTAGAGTTAGATATCTGGGATCCCGTCCTGGTTCTGCTCCTTGGTTTTGACCTTAGAGATCCTCTAAGAGCCTCCTTTCCCTCATCAGCAAATTAGAGATAATAATAACACCAGCGACATAAGGTAATGCAATAGTAAGTTCTCAGGAAATGTTGGCTGTCAGTATCATTCTTGTCTTTTAATCTTCACTACAATCCTACAAAGTAGCCATTAACCCTGCTTTACAAATTATTGAATTAAAGCACAGTGTAACTTGCTCAAAGGCGGCCGGAAAATAAGGGGTTGAACTAATTGGAATATATAAAAGCTCATGTTCTTCCTTCCACCTTGACAACCTCCTGAAAGCGATTTGATTTTAACTCAAAAATTCTTTCTGTCTGTATATTGAGAACCTAGATCTCATGAATGCCATTTGTATTTCTCTGTGCTCCTTAGCATGGGCCTGGATCTGCAAGTGTCACCAAGGATGGGACCCCTCTCTCTTGGCCCTTAGCTATTCTGAAGCATTAGTATTTGCCATAGGAGAAAATTCCACCCTGGAGATCTGATCACATAATGCACACTAACATTTGTGCAAAGCAGTGCCACTTCCTTTGAACCTCTGTAAGATGGGTTAGCACCTGAGGGCACTAATGGGCAGAGAAAGTAACAGTTAAGTGGCAGCTAAGTGAAATATTTATAGGACGGGGCACATGGCTTGGGCCATATACAAGACAGCCTTATTTCAGAGAGCAATTCCTCTTTCCCTATTGCAAAAGATGCTGTACTTCAAATATTTGCATAATGTTTTAATAGTTCCCCCAAAAGATAATTCCTAATCATGTTGTGTGTGCCTACTCTATGCCTCACACTATGTTTGGGGCTCGAGAGAGTCCATTCATAGCCATTACCGTGAGCCAATAGTCGAGTAGAGATCTCTAAATGATACAGAACAAAATAAGAACTGCAAAAATGTCCTAGCGATGCATACCTTTGTTTTCCCTGAGGCTAATAGATGTCAGGCACATAGAAAGGCTTTCAATATTTATTTGTTTATTTATTATTGTGAACAAAAGGAGCGAGCTGCAATCCAACAAGACAAGGGAACAATTTATTCTAACTGGGAAGCTTGGGAAAGGTGTCACGGAAGAAATGTTACTGACCTTGAGGAACGAGTAAGATTTCGGTTGTGGGAGAGGGAGGAGCCATCGAAGGCTGAAGAAGTGGCATGGGCAGAAGGCAGGGGGGTGTGTCTGTGTGTGCGTGTGGCACATCCAAGGGCTACAAGGAGACTCTGCAGCTAAATGCAAGCTTCATAGAAAGACAAGAGCGGAATGAGGGCAGGAAGGTGAGCTGGGGCCCATCATGAAGGCATTAAATGCAATGGAATGGAGTTTGCATTCTGTTTTCTGGATACCAGGGAGGTTTTTGAAGAGCAGAGTAATATATTCATTTCACTATTTCTGAAAAATGATTCAGGGGATAGGGTGAAGGAGGGATTAGGAAATGAAACTGGCAATAGGACCATTGGAAGCACATGTACTGTCAGGAAGAGACAATGCAGTCCCCACTAAGACAGTTGCTGAGGAAACAAGAGAACATTCTCGGGGCCAGGAGTCCCCAGAATGCTCTCTTATTTGTAGTTGTAATTACAAGTTGTAAGAATTTGTAATTGTCCATGGAGAATGGGGAAAAATGAAAGAGGGAATCAAAGAAGAGCTGGTGGTTCTACCCAGGGTGATGCAGGAGAAAATGATACATGCCAGGTTCTCTGTCAAGATTGAGTTTCTGGAAAGTTTCGTGTTTCAGTTGCATGACCATGCCTGGCTTCAGTGCATTAACGTCATTTTCCAATTGCTTTCAATATTACAAGCATAATTTTCTATTTTCAAGGCACAAATCCATTTCATAAAAGCAAACCATTCAAAAGAAAGCCTAGAATGTGCTCACATGGAGGCTGCACTTATGCCCCCTGTAGCTTGAACTAGAAACAGCAGCCTAAGAATGATATAGCAGACACCCACAGAAAGCCTGTATAAAAGCGTTAGCGCCTTAGAGAACTGCCTTCCGTCAGGTTATTCTGAGCCTTGAGCTGTTTCTTCTGGAAAATACATTTCACCTCTCTCATTTTCTCTTTATTTTTCCTCCCCATGCCTACGCTCCTTAGAGGAAAAGTCCGGTAAGAAATAAGCCAAATACCATCTACTCTGTTGATTTTCATCATCTGCATATCTAATGGCTGACTGTGTTTAACACCTAAACGAGGCTGTGAATTTTAAAAACAAACTTTTGTGAACCAGGACAAGGTCTAATTATGCCACTTGGGGAAAAAAGGAAGTTGGTTGCTAAGTGATTTTAAAACCCTGCTATTAACCCAGGGTAATTTTGTGAAGTTTCACCTCTGCCTCAATCACAGGCATATGATCAAATATTTTCGGTGCTAAGTTTCATTTATTGCAGCTTCCACTTGAATTAGTCACGCTACGTATACATGCTATAAGTTAGGCAAACATTTTTTTAAATTGACTTTTTGTTTAATGCACCACACAGTAGCATCCTGAATGCTTGTCAAACTGTTCTGGGAAATGGGAGTAGTAGTGGGGTTCTGGGTCTGAATTTTGGCTTTTTCTTTTTCTTTTTCAGTATATCAAAATATCCCCTCCTAGAATCGTCGGAAACTAGAAAAGAGAATCTTTATAAAATGTAAATCACCTTCTGGATGGTACTTTTTAGTACCAGTGGGTGATTTTTAGTGGCAGCACAAATCTGATATGATGTACCTACATCTTTTTATTTTAGAGCAACATGGAACAGATTTAAAAAAAAAAAAAAAAAGTTTATGTTCTCTTCTCGGTTGCCTGGTTTGTTGGGAACATGTTCCCAAGATGCCAATGTATGGCTGACAGAGGTGATCTCTTTGCTGGAAAATACGAAAATATTGTGTTTCCATGTTAACAGTGCCGAGAAGCTGTTGGTCCGTTCAATTTAACTTGCCTAAGTGGAGGCTGCAGTAAGTGCCGTCACCTCTTACCCTGCCCGCTGACCTGTCCTGGCAGGCTCTGCCCCACGTGTAGGACGCCACACGAGCAGGAAGTCCACGTGATAGGACGGAGATTGGATGGAAGGCACAGGAAAGCACAAAATGGGATCAAAATATTAAAACTGATCAAAATGTGGGCCCACATATTTTTGTTTCCAAAAATAAAATAAGCACCTGTGATTGTGATTATGATGATGATGATTACTAAGCTAAAATGGCCCACTTCTGAGTAATTGAGAGTCAACTCCCTGTCACCTGCTGTGTGGCAGCACAGTATTGCTGGTGCCCTTTAGTAGCCTTTCCTTACACTTTGCCAATTTCATTTATTCCCTTTGACCCTGAATCTTTCTCTGAATTAACTGAATTTGGCCACTTCACATATCGAAAGGACTGTATGGCCTGAAGTTTGCCTGTGGTGCTTTCAAAATTCTCCGTTCCTCACTGGTGTTCCCCCTGCTGTCCATACAGCAATTTTAGCTACAAGTATTCCTCTTCATTTCAGTTGTGAGTCTTCAAGGATGTCTTCCCCCCACCCCCTTGCCTCATTTCTCTTTGGAAATGTCCATCTTGTCAATTCCTCAGCCCGGCGTCTCTTAATGATATCTCTGTTAGTAGCGGGTTCTTTGTTTCTCCTCCCAAATGGAGTTTCAGAAGATCGTTTCAAACATGTCTGATTGGATATAATAAGTAATTCTCTGTAATCTGACTTGGAATATATATAGAAACAAGTTTAAATTTAGACAAACACCTACAAGAGTGGAGCGAATAGATGCTTGCCAGATAGTTTGACTTCACCCAAAGCATTTCAAAAGAAATAGGAATGTTGGCTGGGATCATAATAATAAACATAACAATCATATATTCTAATTGTCTCCTAGAAAATTCTCTAACGTGAATCATTGAATTTGCTGTGACTAGATTATGTAAAAATAATATTTGTTTGGTGCTTTGCAATTTACCACCCATTTTCCTCTTGTTTCCCTATAGCTCTGAAGTTAGCAAATTTGTAAAACTACAAAATCTGATGCTGATTATTCAGAGAATTTGGCAAGCAAGACAGAATATGTTTGGTTACTTAGAAATGATAAATGCCTTAAAACACTTTACCCACATTGACTAAGACTAAGGTTTCCTAGTTAACTGAATTTAAATTAATCCTGTTATGCAAAAAAATAATAAAACAAAACTGCAGTGTGGTATAAGAACACTGCAGAGACTACAAGGGCATAGGCTGTAGTATCTTCTTTTAGGGAGACACATTCATATTGAAAATTATATACATTTTAGAAATATAAGATGTTCTAACCAAAGATTTTCATTCCAGTGACCAAGTTGTAAATTAGCAGTTTTTACCAACTTTGAAAACAGCCTCAAAGTACAAAGTAAGAGTTATCTTTAAGTGGAACACCAAAATAAAAGTAGAATGGAAAATAAAATGTTCCAAAACCTTCTCCAGAATGCATTAGAGGACCAAGAGAAATATAGGAATTAAATACTTCACGTTTAATTAGGAATGTAGGAAATTTGTTCAGAAAACGAGTAGACCACTTGCAAAGTCTCTGAGTAATCAGATGTAGAAATGAAGCAATACAAACAACAGAGAGAACTCATTGAGAGCTTATTATGTATGATACAAATGCCTGCAATCAGAGAGGAATTGACCACCTGCAGATTCTGAACAACTGAATAGGTGTTTTGTTTGGTTGTACAGTTAAAAACAATTTTAGCTCACATTTAAAAACTAGAACATTCCGAATTTTTTTTTAAATGTGGGTGCTCATCTTCTTTCCGAAGATCTGGCAGCATTAAGCCCATATTCTGGCATGGCAGACACAGGAAGCACCTAAACAGTGGCCAGTTCACCAGTTTCAAGATGCACATGTGCCCTGACTCCCAGCACCCAGCCCTGTTCCTCACCCCTGGAAGCATCTGAGTTTGCAACTCTGGACATAGATCTCTCAGCTTATTGAATATATCCAGGCCACATACAGAATTAGTTATCTTCTGCCTTTGAAGCAAATTCTATGTACTGGTAGAACAAACATAGGAGGCTAAAGTCTTTGATATTCTTGGGAAATTAAGGAGAAAGGGTAAAATAAAATTTTGAACAGGCAAAGACCCTTCCCTCCTGGCTGATAATAACTTTGCTGTCCTTGTCTGGCAGAGTCTAAGTTGTCTTATTCTCTTTAATGGTGATAATTATTGTATATAAAGCCCTTCCATTTAACTTCTGGAAATCTTTTCTTTTTGAAGGTTTCAGATTGCTGATAATTATAGATCTTGAAGCCTTCTGGGTCTGCTCTTTGCACAGCTTCTAGCTGTGTCTTTGGGGTTCTGTTTAATCAGCCTGTGGCTATATGAATTTGAATAGCTATTCCTTGATGAAGGCATTTTACAAATGCAGTTCCCAAAATGTTACCTTATATGATTGTCTTTTACTTGAAAGAATACAAACATAAGCTATTGATTAAAAATGTCGGTTTTTAACTCATTAGAAATTAAGATATGACTTAGTTTGGGTACAATAATATACTTGAAATTACTTTGAAAAGTGTTCTATATAATTTTAAATTAATATAAAGAGCCTTATATTTAAGGCTCTGCCACTGTATGGTTGCAATCTGCATTTTATTTTGCATTATTTCTCATAATTTCATCGTGGAGGAACTGTGTCACTTTTAGTCCCCTATTTGCTATATTTTAGAAGTGAGTCATTTGTCATAAAATGCCCATATTTCCTTCTTTAGAAAAGAACTTCAGCATGATCACAAAAGAATAATACAGTCTAAATCTTCATATAAAAAAAGTGTTTGAATGTTTCTCAAAATAGAGTATGAATTAGCCAAGAAGAGAATTCAAGCCCAGAAATACATGAATATACTCTTTTTTTTCTAATTTGATTTAAATTGCATCCATGCATATAGACTGGTTTCTAAGAGAGATGGGATCAATATGATGCAGTACCTGGAAAATAAAGCAAATAAAGTCTAAAATATTATAAGTAAAATTGACTGGAGTAAATATGTCTAAAGTCCCAGCAACTTACAAAACTGGTCTGAAAAATAACCATTCCTGGGTGTTAGCCACAATGGCTCTCTGCTTTAGGAGTCTTTCAGCAATGCCATGCTTGGTATCATAGAAAAAACAAGAATGTGGAAGATCAGAAACTTTTGTTTTTTGTTTTTTGTTTTTTTAAGACACAATCAGACTCTGTCGCTTGGGCTAGAGTGCCATGGCGTCAGCCTGGCTCACAGCAACCTCAAACTCCTGGGCTCAAGTATCTGGGACAACAGGCCTGCACCAGGTAGATGGGGTCTCACTCTTGCTCAGGCTGGTCTAGAAACCCTGACCTCAAGCGATCCTCCCACCTCGGCCTCCCAGAGTGCTAGGATTACAGGCGTGAGCCACCGTGCCTGGCCCAGAGATCTAAATTCTGTCTCTGGTTCTACCCCTTTACTAGATGTGTGTCTCAGAGCCTCACTCCCCTCTCTCCATCATAAAGGCCACTGGACTAAATATTCATGGAGGTCTCCCAGGCATGAAAGGCTACAGGTTTTTGTTTCCTTTCTATGTTCTGAAGAGTAGACCATCCTCTTCATTTGTGCAAGCTCCTAGCTACAGCTACATTTGTGTTTGTGCTCCCAGCCTGGCTTTGGGAGGTAGCCTCGGGTGAATCCATGGATGAGCCCACATCCTGAAAGTGAAATGCTGAGCAACATCCTTTTCCCCCACTCCCATCCTCGCTACTCTTGAAAGGGCAGAAAGATCCTAAAGAGGGAGCCATCAGAGACCGTCGGGGAAAATAGACAGCAGCATGAAGGGTTGCAGAGAGAAAGAAAGAAGTTGTATGTCTGCTTGTTTTGCAGGCATCCTCTGGTCCACCCGTGTTCTATTGGTGCTGGACAGTTTTCATTATTCCCACCTGTGTGTGTCAGGGGCTCCTCACCTTCCCTGTCACGTTCCTCCCCTTTGGTAGAGGCTGCCGAATCATCGGCCAAGAACATATATGTACCAGCAAAAGTCCTCATCAGCACAGATTCCATAGAACACTACAGCGAGAAGCCAGACCAAGGAGAGTGCACTTTAAATCCTGCCTCTGAGTTTTTGGAGGCCCCCGTTAGACCCTAACTATGTGGGAAATGCTTTATGTCTGTGATGTTTGCTAACACCCTCTTGTACAGGGGAACAGTTTGCCCCATAATTGTTTATTTTCTAAGTTTCTCCTCTCCAAATAATCTGGAGAAAAACTCCTATGGCAAGACATTAAAAACCGTCAGTGACATCTACTTGTACATTTCAGCCTTGTTCTTATGTACACATAAGTAACACTTGTACATCCACATTAGCAAAGCTGTATTATACCACGGACAGTTCTGCAAAGGCTCCTATGGTTTAACTAAGCCCTAAACACAATGACCGCCTGTCTTCCTTTGGCCTGATCACTCGGAGTGTATGTTTGGTGAGCTGTTTATGAAAGTCTTCTCTTACCCAAGCCTGTTGACTGATCCATCATTCTCTGACTAGGTGTCTGTTCTCTCTTCCTTTTTGCTGATCACAGAGGCGCAGCCCGGTAAGAACTCTCAACATTTTTACCTTAAACATGTATAGAGAAAATTGCTGCCAAGGCAAGGTGGCCAGGTTGGTTTCCCATTAAATTTACGATAACCCAGTGTGAGTGAAGCAGATGAATTAGCTTTAAGGGTTGGAAGCCTCTGACCCTCTAAGTGTCAAGGACATATTTTAGAATTTTCTAACCACTTTTCCATAGCCACCTAAATTAATACATGGGAATCCCAATACCTAGTGTCAAATTTGAAACTGGGGGGTGGGGGGGGTTTGTGTAAGTGTGTGTGTGTGTGTGTGTGTGTGTGTGTGTGTGTGTGTGTGAAGCACCAGCAGATTAATCAGAAAGCATGATAGAAGCTGATAGCAAAGTGATAATGAAGAATAATAAAACAATAAAGATTGCAAGGAAACAATTTTCAATCCACTTTGTTTTTAAGCCTAAATTCAAAATATGTCCCTGGACCACAACTTACGTTGGTCAGTGTGTGCTGATACATAATTCTAATTTCCATCTTGGGAGAGGGAGACACACTGTCAAGTCAATGGTCCTGGGCTGTCACATAATTCTAAGTAGATTCATCACTGAAGACAAACTTGGAAGGTCAGATCAATATTAGTTTACATTGTTCAAAGTGGATTCTCAATCATTTTCCTCAGGTTGATGAATATGATGAATTTAGAGCAACAAAAAGAAAGGTCTTTGCTGTGTTTAAAATGATCCCCATCTACTTGGTCAGTCCCTTAAGAGAGGAAATGGAACTGAAAACAATGCTTTCTGAAATAGTGGTATGCCTGTGTCAATCCGATTAATCATTATTTGAGCCAACTACCCTGCCCCAGGTGATAAGTCGGTGGTTCTCTGTCTAAACTGTGTTAACTAAGGTTTGAAAGTGGCATCTGCAGGCACTGCTATGTGGGTGTTGGTGATTCCAACCCAGCTGTTAAGTGACATCCCAAATTAGGACAAGTTTTCTTTTTTAAAGGAAAAAATTAATTCACTAATTCAAAATGAAGAAAATGTATTCACAACATTCATATAACAACAAACAATCATTGAAAGGAGGAAAATGCAGTCACCTGAGGAGGAGGAGAAGGTTTTCGAATTCAGTGGGCTTCGTTCCCAAGTGTGGTTTGTGTGGTTGACATCACCTTACCCTTGTTCTAGATTTGTCACGCTGCAACATTAAGGCCATCAAAGATCTGTGTGCCGGATCAGCAGACAACAGGACTTTCTTCTCTGTGGCTGCTGACTTGATGCTGATCATTCAGATATTTGTCCCTTTCTAAATTGATATTAGTTTTGTTTTTCCTAATTTCTAAACAACAGAGTTTTCTTGCACATTTCTGTCAAGTCTTACTTGCATTTAACTTGTGATCGTTCATTCATGAGGAGTATTTAATAAAAATGTTACAGGGACTTCTTTAGTGCCTTTCAACAGTGAATAGCTGTTGAATTAATTGACACACCTGGGAATTAATAAATACAAAAGGAGCTTTGTACCTTTCTTGGTTTCATGGGTACTATATTTTTAACAAAAGGAGTAGGACAGAGAAACCAAGAGGTCTTCAGTATAGCTCCTGGGATCCTCTAACTGCTGGATTTCAGGTCTCACAACACTAGGTGCGCTCTGTTCCCTCAATGCCAGCTTATTAATCTTGCCATTGACTACTTGGAACTAAAGCCCCTATATCTCTTTCTTCAGACCTTACTAATAAAATTATGATTATCTGACAGTCCACAACCAGAAAAACATTTTAACTCCATTTAAACAATTTGTTCTCTAATTATTTCTGTCCTCAAAGCCTTATTTTTTTCAAAAGCAAACCTGTATCAAAACTCACATGATTACAGCAAATTTAAGTGACCATATTTATTTTAAAATTTTCATAATAATGTAATAATTCTCTATATGGCACATAAAGTAGGAGGAAACATATTGCATCATTAGGCAAAACAAGCCAGAAAATGTAGTTTGAGAGATTGAGAAAATGTAGTTTGATAGATCCTTGTTCAGAGCAAAACTCACTTCTATCATAAATGGGTTCAAAATGGGAAAGAGAGTTCTGATATATCCTTAATAATGAGGGAAAGAAGCTGCAAATAGATCTATTTACAGAGGTGCTAAATCTTATCTGAAGTTCTTAATTTTATAATTTGAGAGAAGAAAACATTCTGTGACCACCAGGTTGAGCCTTCACTATGTTCACTAAAATGTTAGGAAGTAGGAAAAAATGTGTTTTGTGGCCACTCCACAAATCATTCATCTCACCTATTGTGGTATTTTCATACATTGCACTTCCACTTTCCTGCCCTGACTCAGCCCCCATCATTATCCTAAGGCAGCATGCCAAGCCATGCCGTTGGTCCCGTGGTGCAACCTTCCTGGTGGTCTACTTTTCTGGTAGCATCCCATGCTAGGAACTTTTCACAGCTTCTGGTTTTTAATCAAAACTTTTAGTCTAATCCATCCTTCTATGGTCTAAGTAAACTTATGCTAAGGCATTATAGAAGCCAGAGATGACCTGCTCAGATTATTCCTGCCAGGGCTATTTGTATTCCAATAGTATCACAATGCCTTGTATTAAAAAAAAGAAAGAAAAATACTCCCAGTTGGTGGATTGGCAGGCCTAGTGGCAGGCAACTGGAAGAAATTGACGAGGGAAGAGGGATGAATGGGTAGGGTGGAATTCCCTGCCTCCCTGAATAAAACAGTCCATTCCATGGCAGATGCCTCCAAGTTTCCCTTGCCTTGATCACTTGTCACTTATATCTTTTAAAATCACATTTGTAAACTGATGACTGTACTAGCTATTTGAAAACCCCACCTCACTAGAAGCATACAGTACTCCTAAATAGATTCTATAATTTTCAAACATCAAACATATGTTAAACTTGGATTTACTTTCTTATCTGTTAGAGTTCAAGAGGATTTTTAAAAATAAACTATTCAACATCTGTCTTTAATTTACCATATCCACCCAGGTAAGGGGTTGTTCTTGTTCAGAAGACATGATTTACCCTTCCTTTCTCTCTATATTCTTTGAGTAAAATGAAAAACGGATTTATGTATATGTATCTACAATTTCCAACTTGAATGTGGTTCTGAGAAAAACTTCATTTTCCACATCTGCATTTCTTTGAGTTCAGTTTAATTGCAATGACAGAAATAATACATATTGTACATAACATATATGTGGTCTTAAACCTTATAGTGTCTATTTCTAATTCTAGGGTGCAATTAAAAGGAACTTATCCAGTAAGTATATCTTAGCTACCAGAAATAGAGTACAATTTAAAAGAAGGAATAGTTCCTTGGATCTTGGAGCATATATACATTTGAATTTTACACTCTTGGGCTTGATTTTAAGGCTTACAATTTTTTTTTTACTTTTGCAGCAAAGAATTCTTGTAATGAACCCCTGTGGGTTTTGAATGATTAATGTTTAAATTCTGAAAATGAATATGCTTTTGGAAAAACATTGGTATTTTCTTCCTATATTTGTTAACTCTTGATGTATTTAACTTCGGAAATGGATTTAATCAAGTGTGTATTTGTTGATGGGAGGTGGGAAGAGGAGGAGGGCAGAAGGAACTGAAGTAGATTCAACTCATCCATTCCTATGTCATTTGATATAAAACTTTTAGTCAACCAAAGGGATATGATTAGGTTATAATACACCTAGGGCACAATTTTCTTCTGCTGCATACAACAAATTCTAGGGAATTCTAAATTCATGCTTCATAGTTAAATATATAACATTTTCTTGGCATTTCAAGAAAAGAACAGGCAGAGAATGCTGGATTCTTGTGCTACACATATGGCCTGGCTTAGTATTCTTTTATGGTAATTGGGAAGCATAACCAATCAAGGCAGCAGACATTCCAAGAATGGTATGCTATTCCACTAAGCTCTGCAGTATACAAATCTTCTATTTGATGGCTTACCATGGTAGTTCCTTGGTTAATGAGGTTTTACAAATGCCAGACAAAATGCTGCTACATATGCTTAATATATAGCTGTTGCATTGCCAGGGGAGAGGGTTTGTTTTGCAAAGCTTTCATATTGCATTGCTTACTGATGGGATTTAAGTCTCTAAGTGTTTCCAAACATAATTCATAAGACATATCAGAGAGTAATGGTAAAAATATGCCTAAACATTTCCTTTGTCCTGTACATCAGGTGAAGAAGTGGCAAGACCCAGGCGTTCCACACCAACTCCAGAGCTTATAAGGTGAGCATGAAAGACATTAGTTGTGTTTTATGCAAGGTATCATGAACTTTGAACAATTAAGCAAATCTCCTTTGGACTAAACTCTAGGCTTCTGTTAATAAAAGACCTACCTATACATATAAGTCCATATGTTCATAGCATGGTCCAAATATTTAATATGTTATCATTTCTCATAAGTGCAGCCCAAGGGAGGCCATTAGGGAAGTACTCTGCACTTATCTAAAATAACTGCCTACCAAAATGTGCAGTCCCCTCACTAATGGGAAGGCTAAAGGTCTCTATAAAGAGGTCTTTGGGGTCTAGAATGCTGATCTGAAATAGGATTTTATTGCCCTGTGAAGAGAAGCCTGTTTAGTTGGATACAATTTCATGGTACATTCCACCTGCCACACACGAAAGGAATAATCTATTTTAGTTTGGGGCTTTGGCAAAGCATTGTGTTTTACAGTGTCTTCTTCCATTTAAGCAAGTGTTGTACAAATGGGCATCATTTTCTAAAAAGACTGCTATTCCCATTTCAAGGCTGGATCCTTCTACATCTTTTTCCTCCCGCTCCCACCACTCCCCTCCTTTCACCCCTCATTCCTCAGCACACATGCACAGGATACATTAGCATCAACGAGGGGAATGGGGTTTGGAAAAGAAATGGCAGTCATGCAGCCTTTTCTCAAAAATCAGTCTAGAAGAATAATTAGGAGAAAGGATGGGAGTTTAACTTATTGTCCTCCAGCTTCCCTAATCTCTCACTACTCTTCTCTTTCTGAGATGTGCTGTATAGAGGTCTGAGGACTTTGTAACCAGCCTGTTGAGTAGGAAAGGGAAGGATGAAACTTCCTGGGTGCCTTGTCACTTAATATCCCATCCTTGACTTTAACCACTCATAAACTGTATTAACTAGAACACGGAGATGTGGTGAAGATAAATATAAATGGTTTTTGAGATCTTAGGGAAGAAAGGTGCTTTGCAATAAACTGTTATCTAGAGTATTAACTCTTCTAGGTATAGAGAACCATGGTGCTTTGAAAGTGTTTCCCCTCAACTTACTTCTGTTGGACCATTGAGGACCAAGGATCTTACCTCCTACCAATTCTCTTGTCCCATAATACATTTGACATCCTTACATAATACTTCTAAGCCCTACGGGAGCTTTGCACACATATGCATGTGTGCATATATAACACATGTGCACACACACATTTGTTTGTAGGAAAGTTTGTGTATCTTTTGAGCACTAATTTTTGAGCCCTGTCTCTGTATTTTACTTTAATGTATGTGATTTAGCAAAAAGCCTCCAGACGACACTACAGCCCTTGCTCCCCTCTTTGGCCCACCATTAGAATCAGCTTTTGATGAACAGAAGACAGAAGGTAGGAAAAAACCCTATACATCTACGGACTTGTATTTCTTTTTATTAAAGCATAACCTTTCTAGAGGAAATGTATATATTTTGAGGCATATTTTTAATATATTATCAGATCCTCATGGGAAAGAAAATTTCTGATCTAGGTGTGCTGTCAAGAACAGTTTGCAAACCTCTATTATTTTAGGATTTGAAGCTTTACTTCCAGAAATATCTAGTAGCTAAAAAAGTTTACATCTCAAAAGAAATTAGTAAGAATTACTGCAAATCTACACAAATCTCTGTCGGGGAGTGAATGTTCTGGGATCCAGTCATCATTTGGAGGTGTCAGCAGGAGCATGAATGGAGCTAGGCCTCATTACACCTGTCATGGTCACTTTCACTGTGATCTGGCCTCTCCGACCTCATTGAATCTCTTTTCTACCTCATCAGTGGAAGTGTCACTTAGATTGCTCACAAAAGGCATTGTTTGCTGGCTCACGACCCAGGAATGACCTTGAATCATTCACAACTTAGAAATAAAATGCTATGGGAAAAATATCTTCATTTCTGCCATTATTGTTGTATTCCTAGAGTTAAATATTTAATCTTTAAAAATTAACCAGTTTGGGGGGGATGGCTACAAATAATTTGTACCTTACTGGTATAAAATAAGCTCTCTATAAAAGGAATCTAATCTATTTCTGAAATGTGTTTATGTCTAATGCATGTAGCTCCAGTAGCTATGTTTGGTAGTACAGAACATTTTCTTTGACTGAAGAGCATCATGGTATAGGTATAATAAAATGTTTTTCTAGGATATATTGATGAAGTGTCTTAAGAGTTAAGGACAGAAAGACTTGGATGCATAACGAGTAGGCTAAGCTACATTAACTAAGAGATCTCAAAGTACAGTGAATGAAGCAAGATAGAATTTTATTACCGATTCTTGTTAACAATCTAGAAGTAAACAATGTAGGACAGGTGGGGTAGCACTACTATCTTCAACATGTTACCTTTCTCTCTGGGTCCAAAGGGGCTGTTCATCTCCTAGTCAGAAGAAGGGAGGTGAAGAGAAGGCCAATGGAACTCACTGCCAATTGTAGTAAGAGCAAATTCTGGAAGAGACACAAATCACTTCCAACCAAAGCCCACTGGAGAGAATTTGATGCCAAGTGGCCAGCTAAAAAAAACTCCGTTATTATAGAAGAAATGGAGACCAGATTCTGTGAGATAGCCAGCAGTCAGCCACACCTGAAAATTTTCAATGATTTTGTTAGAAAAATGCACAAAGAACATTCCTAAATACTCCTACAACAATTGAAATGTCCGTAACTTAGAATTCCTATGTAAAGGTGGCCTTGCAGTAGTGCTATCAGTTGTCTTATTAAGTCACCCATGATCTGTCTCTCTATTAATGACATAATTATATGATGACTGGAGGTGGAATTTGCAACTGTATCTGCCTATTTAAGCAATTCCATAGCTATATGGAAACTTTATATAAAAAATAGAAACCATTCTTAAACATCAAGGCAGGGTCCCACATTAAATCCATGAAAAAAAAAATCCTGTGTCATATCTTTGGAGAATGTTTTCTTTCATTAAAAATAAAAACAGAACTAAAACCATCTTTGAGGCTTGTGGTGGAGAAGAGATACATTCCTGCACTTGTCCATACACTGGCTTGATTATTCTTTTTTTTTTTTTTTTTTTTTTTTTTTTTTTTTTTTTTTTTTTTTTTTTTTTTTTGTTGTCCAGGCTAGAGTGAGTGCCGTGGCGTCAGCCTAGCTCACAGCAACCTCAAACTCCTGGGCTCAAGCGATCCTCCTGCCTCAGCCTCCCGAGTAGCTGGGACTACAGGCATGCGCCACCATGCCCGGCTAATTTTTTATATATATCAGTTGGCCAATTAATTTCTTTCTATTTTATAGTAGAGACGGGGTCTCGCTCTTGCTCAGGCTGGTTTTGAACTCCTGACCTTGAGCAATCCGCCCACCTCGGCCTCCCAAGAGCTAGGATTACAGGCGTGAGCCACAGCGCCCGGCCTGGCTTGATTATTCTTTAGATGGTTTCAGCCCTTGAAGTTCAATAAAGTTCCAACATTTGCACCCACTATGCTAGCTCTTTGCCCACACTTCCCTTTCTTACCTACTTACTCTTACTTCTCTAGATGGATTTTTCTATCACTAGTTGAAAAAGCCTGGGGAAATATATATGTATTTTGGAGTCAGGTATGCCTGAGTCAGATCCCAGCTCCTCTATTTTTACCACAGACAAGTTATTTAACCATCCTAATTTTTGGTTTCCTCTCCCACAATGATACTGATAGCAACCACATGGTGGTGGTATGTGGATTAAAATATATAATAACAGCTACTGGCTTTATGATAAATGTTTTATGACATTTTATGCACACTATATTGATATGCATTACCTCCCTTAATCACCCTTCTTTGTATCTCTTTGAGGTTGCTATTATTATCTCCACTATGTGCTGAAGGAAGGAAGCTCAGAGAGTTTAAGTGACTTGCCCAAGGACCTATAGGAAGCTCAGAGGCTGGATTCAAATCCACATCCACCTGATCTCCCAGCCTCTACATGATGAAGTAGAGCAGTCCTTCCATAGTCCCTGCCATACGATAGGTGCTGAGAAGAGCCAGCTGTTTACACTGATACCATAGCAAGTTTTAAAAATCAGAATAAGAAGAGAAAAGAAAGAGAAGAAATGTTAAGGCCCCCAACCTAATTGCACTGATTACTTTAGATGTCTAATCACATGTTTGTTTTCTGATTCTAATTTCCCTTTGTGATGCTGTAAAATGTTTATTTAAAGACCCAGTAAGATCCTTTAAAGATAGAAACCATTGAATAGAACCAAGGCATTTTCAGTTTTAAAGCATATTCAAAGCAGACTTTAAATAAATCCACTTACAACAAAACAAATGTCCACGGGATTAATCCCTGGATTTTCCAATGAGTACCAGAAATGGAGCCAGTACATGTACTGGTACTAAGAATGTCCTTAAGTGACCAACTGGGAAGAAAATTTAGATTCACTTTGAAAGTTTTTATGTAGCTATATGTACACACAGATACCCCACCCACCCACATGCACACCACACTTTTATTTCTAGTCTCTGCACGAAAAAAAATGAGAAGCAGCACATTCTTAAATTAATTTTTCAGTACTAGGGCAAGAGGGAAATAATTTTGTGAAGCTCAGCTTTAAATTGACATTTAAGTTCTAAAATCCGGTGGGGTGGGGAGGTGTGCATTGGTTTTGTGTGTGTGTGTGTGTGTGTGTGTTTGTGTGTGTGTGTTTTAAACTCACTCTGGGAAATTTTCTTTTTATATCTCCAGCTCTTTTAGATCAGCCTGAAATATGGGGTTCAGGCCAACCAATTAATCCAAGCATGGAGTCGCCAAAGTTAACAAGGCCTTTTCCCACTGGAAGTAAGTTATGTGTCTGCTCTGTCTGGAAAAATAAGTGACTCATTTTACTGTCTGTCTGCACAGTGAGATTAGGCAACTCTTAGAAAGTCTACGTAAGCAACATTTGAACTCTAGAATATTAAGAAGAGATGTTGTTTAATGGTCCAAGCAGGTTATCAAGGCAAGAAGAAAATAATAAAGTAAAATTATTAATCTTGAATCACTGCCTCTTCTAACATCCCACATGCCCATTCATTCATTTATTCAATATGTATATGTAAGAGTGAGAAGCAAGTGAGCTAAAGAACCTACTATGTTCCAAGCACTGGGCTATCACACAACACAGAGGTGAATGAGTCAGATGTGGTCTCTGCTAGTCCTACAGCACAACTGAGGCTGCACAAGACAGAAAGGGCACAGTGTGAAGAAAGAGTGACAATTGGAGAACAAGAGAAATGGGGCAATATAGCAGGGAGATCAGGGTCAATTTATGTCAAAGCAACCATCAGCCCTGTTTATTCCAGAATCCCCCAACCTCACTCGAGGTGGCTGGGGAGGGAGGTCTTGAAGATCTACACAGCCCTCCACCTGGGGTGGGATGGACTGTTCTGTCTGAACGGATTGCTCATTTGGTCAGGCCACCTTTCTTAGTAAATTATTGAATTCCCCTTTAAGTATACCACTCATAGCAAGCATGCACGTGGAAGACACTCTTTGAAATACCCGTGGGAGATTGGATTTCAGAAAAAGGTGGTTTTGGGGGAGGAGGGAGGCACAGAGTGTATTTCTACTCCTTAGTGTTCACATACAGACCAACTAACCTTTTTTGCAGTTCAGCATCCTCAGGGCTCTGCTTTTGGGTACCTAAAAATCATCACCAGAATTAACCAAGGGGATTCATAATCAAAGGCAAAGAGATTATTTATTGGAAATATTATTGCTCTAAATCCATGTGATCCAGCCTTTCCAAGGATATTTCCCTCGTTAAACAGGATAGAAAACCCAGCATTATCAAGGACTTTTTTTTAACTTCTGACCTTTGAAAGATGTATTTTGAAGGGATTTAAACCACAGTGGCATGATTTTAAACATTTCTCTCCGCTACTGGGAAAAAAGCTCTAACATCCTTGAAAGGCTTTCTTTACAGACCTGAGCTATTCAAATTATTCCTAGAAAACCCTTTCTAAATGGCAAAAATGTAAACAAACAAAATGTTTATATAGGTGATGTATCGCTTTTAAGTCCAACTATTGGTATTACAGAGTTGTGAGTTTTATGCGCTGTGGTTACACTTAGCACAGTACAGGCTGCTGTTTGATTGATGTGCCTTGTGTAATTCTGCTCTTTCTGTGATTGCAGCACAAATTTACTATTTTTAGATTATTAGGTTTTTATATTATTTTATTTGTTTGATGATATTTTGTTGATTATGACCTTGATTAATTTTTTGCTGAGATCCTTAATCAGGAGCAGAGCCCTTGGTTGACTCTTAACTTCCATGGAAAAATGTGATCAACTTTAGGTGTACTTTAAGAACTACAGGAACCATATATTCCTAGGCTTTAGGATGAGAGCTGTGAGTCATGCTTGTTGCATGGAAGAACAGGATGCTGTCTAAAACTCAATAAACAAAATGTGCAGGGGTGAAGGTGAGGGGGGAATGACAGAAAGAGGTTCTTCCTCATGTAGGCAGGTAGAGGCTATTGGCAAGAATCCTGCAGCTGCGTGCCCACCTACACACTCTGCTTTCAGGTTATGAAAGGTTGGAACCACATTCAGGTTCACACCTGAACTTCAGATGGTTTATGAAATTAGTGTGAACTCTTTGAATTTACCAAATAGGGTCAGCGACAAGAAAGCATACATTTAAAGAAAGAAGAAGAAATGTACCTGTTGAAACACTAATTCCAAACTTTGCCCACAAAATTTCAAGTCCAGTTCAGAAGGGTGAATCTCTTGGGAGGGACCATAATACTATACTTTATGTCAGAATTTTGTTTGGCTGTTATTTGTACCAAAGGAATCTGTCTGTTATTCTTCAAGCCAAGTCATTTTGCTTCTGACTTTCAAAAATTTATCAAAATTTAGGAAATATACTTTTGAGACTCTTTCTTGACTCAATGTAGAAAACAATATCCTAACTAGATTAAAAGCCCCTCCACTGCTCCCCGAACCTTTTATCATTTCCATTATCATACCCTGGACCGTGACTGTCTGTTAACATGCTATCCATTAGGTCCATCATAAATTCCTTGAGGGCAAAAGTGATTTGTATTCAACCTTATGTCTCTACTTCCTAGCAAAGGAGGTGGGACTTCATTGTTGTCTGAGGTTTGTTGAATAATATTTAAATGGATACAATGGTGATATTATTGTTATTACAATAACTTTTGACAAACTCGTAGTCTTGTAAAATGGAAGAATCCGAATGGGTCCAGCTTCAGTCCTTTGATTTTGAACTTAAAAAAATGTAGACCATTAGCTATTTCATTTCCAATAGTAGGAATATAAATGAAAACCATAGCTATTTCATTTCCAAGAGCAGGAATATAAATGAAAGCCCAAATCCTGCTTGTCTACAGTGCATTGTATAACTTAGGAGGAGCATGATCAATAATGCTTGACTTCTCATCTCTTCGTAGCACCTCCACCACTGCCTCCAAAAAATGTACCAGCTACCCCACCCCGAACAGGCTCCCCTTTAACCATTGGACCAGGTAAGCTTTAGTTTTGTTTGTTCGGGGATGATGTAGCTGAGAGTGGCCCTGGACCAATGAGCCCTTGATGTGTTGGAAACTGCAGGCTACACTAAGACATTATAACAGTGTTGGCATTTAGTTTTGCTTCCCTTACAATGTATCGTGCGGGCTTATTTTTAAAGCAGCACTCCCAGGTTTGCAAAAAATACACAAATAACAATTTGTCAATTAATTTTTCCGTGGTGTAATTTTATTGAATGAGGGCCACATCTACTTGTAAAGGGAAAGGGAAAAGATCTCAATATGAAAAGTCATGCTTAATTAACCATTTACTTCATTGGATCTCATTATAATGATTTACAAATTAATAGTCTCAAGGCCTAATTTTTATTTTTCCAAGAGCCAATAAAACTTTTGCTTTTAAAACTAAAACTGTCTAGTCTACAAAGGCATAAAATGGTTCCCAGGGTGTGCATCCTACTGATGGTGGGGAATATTTTTTCCAGTGGTCATTTGAGTATTTATTATCCCATGGCAAAGGGATACGTAAAGATTATGAAATATAGCAAGGAATTGCTGCATGCCTTTAGACAGATAATTTCTAAGGCACATCTTTACTTTCTATTAAAAAATCAATGCTGCGTATTCATACAATTTATAATCTGCCAAGTCTTATTGGATTAGCAAATCAAAAGTAGTAATAGTTATTTTATGTGTATAGGCCCCTAGGATGTGGTTCTTTATCATCTTTGGAATTCTATTGCAGCTTCGTCCTTTGCTATTTATGCAGCCTGGTGAGTTTGATAGCTACAGAGCAGAGTATTTATCAACAAAAGTGAAGGCAAGACATAGTCATTTATGAAATTTATATTGACTCAAACCCAATAGAGAGTCATCCAGAGTTTCATAAGTAAAGGTGTTTGCAAGTTCAAGCCATTTCGGTTCCTTGTATTTCCACAAATTATGTTAGATATAAATAAACCTACCAGTGACAAAATTATAAATACTGTGAACTGTGCAAAGTGCTACCCCATTTATCTGTAGCCTTGAAACCTTGAAAGTTAATTGCTTTCAAAATGGAAATATGGAAATACTCAACTGGTTCTTAAAGCCCAAGGGTTATTTAAAGGTAAAGGGTCTTCTGGTCATGCCTTCCAGTTATTTAGCAACAATTTCATATATGAATAACCTCAGTTTTAAAAGAAATATAGTTCCTCACATTGCAGTTGTTATCAGGTATTTTATGCCAATGAAATTTTTAGAAGATAGTTTTTAATTTTTTTCTCTTATTGATATGTATTGAAAAGAATAACTGATGCTAACATTTAAGAAAAACAGAGACTTTTCTGTATCATGACTTCAGAGAGATATATATCATAGTTGTGGCTATGATGTTAACAGATTAGACTTGATGAGAAAAGAAATTACAAAGTTTTTAATAGTTTTCCTCCCTATTAAACAGGTATATATGTAACAGTTCTAATAACAAATGCCTCCTTGATAACCTATGTGTGTGTTCAATGTGGGATGTATATGTGTGTGTTTGTAAATATCTGTGTGGGGATATCTCTTTAAGTAATCTTTGTGCTGTGTTTCTGGTGTATTTAAGGTAGAGGATATATAGCTGAATATAATATGATCACTTTTTAAAATTAACAGATATTATAATTGGCTTCACCAAACAGTTTCATTGGATATACTAGCGTAGACAATATTTATAAAATATGAGGGTGATTTTCAGTTGTCGATTCTTTTTATATTATGTTATGTGTATTTTAGTAGGCCAGTCACTTCATTTTCAGAAGTGACTTCCCTTTTGGGATTTGCAATTTTTGCAAAATATGTAGTTTTTTGAGGACCTAACACTGCCATCTCAAAATGATCACGCTTTGTGTGCTTGTGAGCAGCCTTTGAGAACGGTATCATGCTCAGCCCCTTAAATGATGGTAAAAGTAGCTAGCTGTGGTCAGCTTGTAAAAGAGAAAATAATAGCATACAAAATGATGCTCACATTGTGGAGGTGGGGAACTCTCCCCTCACCTCCAGCTCTTAATCCAATAAGATATTTTTATACCATGAAGTATGCCCACTGCGGCACCTCGCAAGGCTATATATCTACCAGCTTTGCGTAACCCCTCCCACCCCACCCCCATACAAATGATATTTTAAAAGTCAAAGTTTAAAATCAACTACTCTAACCACAGGAAATGAACAGTCAGCCACAGAGGTCAAAATTGAAAAACTACCGTCCATCAATGACTTGGACAGCATTTTTGGCCCAGTGCTGTCCCCCAAGTCTGTCGCTGTTAATGCTGAAGAAAAGTGGGTCCATTTTTCTGATACGTCCCCGGAACATGTTACTCCAGAGTTGACTCCAAGGGAAAAGGTCGTGTCCCCACCAGCTGCAGCAGACAACCCAGCTGGCTCCCCAGCTCCAGGCCCTCCTGGCCCCCCGGGTCCCCCGGGTCCCCCAGGGCCCCCTGGGCCTCCTCGCAATGTACCATCGCCGCTAAATTTAGAAGAAGTCCAGAAGAAAGTCGCTGAGCAGACCTTCATTAAAGATGATTACTTAGAAACAATCTCATCTCCTAAAGATTTTGGGTTGGGACAGAGAGCAACTCCACCTCCCCCACCACCACCCACCTACAGGACTGTGGTCTCGTCCCCCGGACCTGGCTCGGGCAGTGGTACGGGGACCACCAGTGGTACGTCTTACTGTTTGGTTGTGCTTCGTGTGATGGGGAATGGCCGTGGCTGCTGCAGTGTGAGCAACACCCTCCTCCTGCCTGGCACTTGGCTTTAGAGCTTCAGCCGTCCTCCTTCGGTCTGGGTGTCCCGTGGGCCCCGGCATGTCCTCGTCCCTCCAATGCTCGCAGTCATAGTCTGAGTCTGTGGATGTGTCCTGCCTTGCACTCCCAGCCCTTATGAGCGCCCTGCCTTCCACCCTGCGGTTAGACAGCGTAGGTTTCTTAAAGAAAGCTGTGATGTCGTTTGGAGTTCAGGAAAGTTCTAGAAAGACAGATTTCACAGTGAGTGAGTTTCATGCTAAATGTCTGATTTCCTTTTCAGATGCTATCACAAGAATCCTAGATTTTATAGGCAATGGTGCGGCAGGGGGTCCTTTTTTTTCTATTTTTTCCTTTTTTTTTTTTTTTAGTTGGGGGAGAATTGTGTTAACCCCTCTAATTTCTTTAGCAAAAACAAACAAAAAAAGATGTAAGATTTGAAAAGGAGATTTTAGGGAACAGGAAAAAAAAAGGGTGGCATTTGACATTGCCTTCCCAATCTAATCAAGCTAGTACTGAAGACAAACTCGTTTTCTGATCTCACCCTGCAACAGGCTCATTAGGCTATGAGGTCAACTCTAAGTATGGTGACAAGTGATGGAAAAATCTACCAGAAATGTACCATTTTGGACTCTCTATGCCAATTCTGATACTGAATTTTATTTTTGTTTGTTTGTTTTCCTTATTTGAAGTTTCATTCTGTGTTTTCTAATTATGAAAGGGTGGTAACACCTGCCATGCATACTAAAGAAATATCAAGATCCTCCAAGTGTATCTTCTTCCATACTATTTATTCCACTGGTGCTCAAATTTGTGTGGCAAGATCCTCTAGCACCTTCCCTCCTTTGCATGTGGGTTCAGTTTAGGTACCTTCCAGGGAGTGCCATGTGTTATTTTTCATTTTTCTTTGAAAGAGACAATCAAGTGTAACGTACTTAGATCTAAAAAGAGACAGGAATTCTAATACTCAGTCATCATTACTGCCTCTTTCAATGGAGTGCTTTCAGTGCTTGCTCTGCGTTTGCAAATGCCCCTGGTGCTTTTAAGTTAGAGCATCCAAGGTAATCAAGGAGAGGGCTGGGAATTCACCTGGACCCGGCACAACACCATGTTTTATATCATTAGGTGTGCCCCCAGCCCTCCTCTCCCCCCAAAAGGAAGACTATTTAATACTCAAGTAAGTTTGGGAAACATTGCATTAAATAAAATTAGCAAGTGTCTTTACCGTAGGACCTTTGGCAGTCTTTATTCTGCCTATAATGACTATAGTTTCTTGTCCTGGGCACCATGCCAAGTGCTTTATGAATGCTATTTCATCCTCACAACAATCCTGTGGGGTAAATTCTGTTATGTTCCTCATTTTATAGATGGAAAAACTGAGGTTCATGGATGTTAAGTAATTTGCCCAAGTTTGCAAGCTAAAGATAACAGACTTAGCATTCATACTCAGATGTGTCTGATCCTGAGCCTCTGTTCTTAACCACTGTTCTCTCCAGACACTGTTGTAAGGTTTGGTCACAAAATATTCCAAACTTATTTCAATACTGAATAAGTGGTGAACCCACTGATCAACAGCACACCAAAATTCTTCTGTCAACATGTACTCCTCTGCGCTCCCCTCTCTAATTCTAGAGGGAGCACCCATCTCCATCCCTTTATTGCTTTTTAGGGGGGTGCTTTTGAGTATACACAGCTGTAAAGATAATAAAGAGCCCCTGTGTAAAGCCTTCAGACTGCAAAAAATATCTAATTGTCCTTTGTAGAAGATGGGCATGCCTCCATTGTTCTCTGCAGGACACTCTCCCCCGGGCCAGGCTCTCAGTCTTTTGAAAGAACATTTCAGGGAATACCCACCTCCCTCCAGGGGTGGGCTAGGATGCACTTCTGAAAGTGAACACGGTTAGCCAGGCACAGGGAGGAAAGGTGGCTTTGGTGTTCATCTGTGCTTCATCTTTCACCTTTCCGAAGGCTCTGGGAGACGTTTGTTTAATTGAATTGACCACTGATCTAGTGAGGAAGAAAGGAGCTTTGGTTTTTTGTCTTTTTTTTTTTAAATCTGGAATCTTTTGAGAGTTTTGCTATTGTTTTAATGTTTAGCTTCTGTACCCTTATTTAAAATTATTTTTAAAATGTTACCAGTAAAGACTATTGATTCTTAATAATTGAGCTGGAAAAAGCTATACTTTGCTGGTATTAAAGGATTGGATTTCTAAGTGGAAGATTGAACTGGGCCACTGTAGCCCATGAATAAATAAAATTTTGTCCCATTATCGCTTTAATTAAGTCCAAGTTTATTTTCTGCTTAATCTTTTATTGATGGGATATACACAAAACTGTCAGAAATGTAAATTTTGTATGAAACAATAGGATATGGTCTCATGTTTTAAAGATTAGAAACTCTTCTTTGTATCTGCTTTTTATAACACATAGCCTGATGGAATTAACTTTTCCTATTTAATTGGATACCATTATGCTTACTTTAAAATTTCATTCACAGCAAGGTGACTGCCACTGACCAAGTATAGACAGTACCTACAGCCTTGTGAATCAAAAGAGTTACCTGCTGTTGAAAAACAGTTGGAAGTTAAGAATTTGCTCCAAGAATTTTAATTTCCTTATGGCAAAAAGTTATAAATACCCCCAAATAAATTTGGCCAGAACAGTGCTTTATTGGAATGCAGACTCCGATTCTTGGCAAAGGCTGTTTCTTCTCCCATGTGAATTGTATGCCAGGGGACAGGAGGGAAAAGGAGTTTTATTGGCCTGCAGCAAGTTTGGAGGCCAGAGAAACAGAAGAGTAAGTAAAGAGAGAATGTTCAGTGCAACATTTTTTAACATAGAAAACTAATACAATATTAAAAGGTATTTTACCCAAACACACATGCATCCACAAACAAATGAGCTTATGCTACTAGGGATTGAATTAACCAAATATATTTCTTAACTACAAGTCTTTTAGAGCAGCAATGTCTAAGACAGGAGTCACTGGCCCCATGTGGTTATTTTAATTTTAATTGTAATAACTTAAAATTCATGTAAAAATCAGTTCCTTAGATACAGTAGCCACAATTCAAGTGCTCCATGGCCACATGTGGCTAGTGACTATCTCATTAGACAATGCTGTTGTAGAACATTTTCATCATTGCAGAAAGCTCTATTGGATGGTACTGTTTTAAGACTTTTAATGTGTTGATCATAAAAAAAACATAATATATGACCATTTACATACATATTTAGTACTTTTTTCAAAGAAATGCTATGACTGTATTTGAAGAAACACAATTTGGGAAAGGTTGTTTAGTTCTATACATACCTCAAAGTGCGTATATTTTAATTCATTTGATTCTCCTAGCAGCATCATGGTATTATTGGCTTCATTTTGCAGACAAGGAAACTGAAGCTCAAAGAGGTAACTTGGCCATGGTCACAAAGCTAATAAGTAGCAGAGCCAGGATCTGGCCCCAGATCTGTTGGATTCCAAGTCCTGTGCTTTGTCACACGTCCCCAGCCACCTTCACTGCCACCCCCCCCACACACACACACACACACAACACATGAAAAGAGAAATGCAAGTTGAGGCTGTAGATATGTGATCAGGAGTGACCAAAGAAACTACAATGAAACTGCAGGTTGAGAACAGCAAATGGATTGAGAGCATATCAATAGTTGCCAACTTTTTTTTAACTCACAAAACCTAATGTACATGTGATTTTTAAAGTTAAATCTTCCACAGTGGTGTTGTCCAATTTACATCCCAGCTTTGTTTTTGCAAATAAACACTGCTTGAGGGGGAATGAAAGCAAAATTGAAAATTGAAGAGTGAGGATAAAGATGTAGGAATCATAACCATCTACACTCTTAAAACATGAAACAATTGGGTAATCTCACAAAAGCAGGTGAAGCCTTAGTTCAGTTGTAAAATACTCCTCAGGCCCTGGGTCTCCTCGGCTGAGCCTCAGGGCTCTGTCAAGCAGGGTTTTAAGTGAAATGTCCTTTTGCTTCTTACATACTCTCTTGGTGTCTTTCTAACTGCACAATAAATCAATTACTCAATTTAGTAAAGAAACATTTATTTAAATGGAGTCGGTAAAGGAAACAGAAAACAACCTTTCAATTAAACAATTAACATTTTTTCTTTACTTTTTAGTTGTATTTGTATCAAAAGACACAGTGTTTATCATCAACAGCAACATCTGTCGCCTTCTATTTGTGTAGCATTTTACATAGTAAACACTTCCATAAGCATTTTTAATTTTGAGTGTTACAATTACCTTGTAAGGTAGAAACAATGTCTCGTTTTCTCAAACAAGGTGGCTGAGGCTCAGGGAGAGATTAAGCTCTCACAGCAAGTAAGAGGCGAGCAGGGCCAGAACTCAGATCCTCTGCCAGTGTGTTTATGCTTTCCAATATTCCACACCACCTTGATAACAACCCCTTAGCACTTTCCCAAGCATGACTGAAAGGAGTTTTTTAAATTTGTTTTCTGGAACATGTAGGGAAAGGATAAACAGCTGGCCTTTTCCTGAGATTGACTCAGAAGCCTATTTCTTGAAAACAGACCTATAGATAGACACTTTGGATCATTCCTACTGTGTGCTTTTCCCAAAGCTAAATAAAACACCCCCACCCCACCAAAAGAAGCTTCATGAAACTTCTTAAGACTTTGCTGTTTAGAGGCTTATTTCCTATCTCTATGCTGTTACTTCTGTCTTCTGAAAACATCCTGGCTGTAAATCTACTAATGTAATACTCAGAAGAAAACTTTGTAGTGGGGCCTGTCAAAACATATACTGTTTTTTTGTTTGTTTGTTTGTTTTTAAGAGAAGATTAGCCAAAACCTTAAGAACATTTATATTTAGAGAGATGTGTACAGGCCAACCATGCAAGAACAGACTTTAAGCAAAATGTGGGGCTCCATATCACAGTCCATCTAAAGCTACAAGAGAATGTATTTAGAAGCTTGGACTTTGGAGGTATACATACTATTTGAGCTATATGACCTTGGACAAATTACTGAATATCTCTGGGTTTCTGTTTCCATTGAGATTCTAACAATACCTACCTTAAAACCTTATCATGGGGCTAAGATAATACATGTCAAGGACCTAGCATAGACCCTGACCCAATAAAATAAAAAGTAAGAATATGGTTAAGTAGGAATGCAGTATGTGGACTCCCCACTGTAGAGGAGATGGGTGGAGGTAGAGAGAGAGTGGGGGTAATAATGAGTCGGGTTTGGCTCTAATGTGATTACACTTAGAACAAACAGCACAGAGAAACACACTCAGGAGTTCAGATTATTTAAACAAGAGAATCCAAGATGGCCCCCAGGGATTCTCCTAAAACAGAGCAGATTTCTGAGATGGTAGGTTTTGGTGCTCAACTTCAAAGCTCTTTGAGAACCTGAAAATCTGGAGACTGAGGTGCTGATCTAGCACTCTCCAGAGATCACAGTTCTGGGGTGTGTTGGGGACAGGCGGCAAGGGGGTGGCAGGTGTGGGGGTAGAGTACAGGTATTTCCTGGAGCAAGATTTCTTAGAATTTGGTGGGGGGGATGATTTGATACCTGTTCTTCTACACAAAATGACAAAACCTCAGGATTCGTTGGAACTTTTCTGAACAAGAACTGTTTGAATATTGATTTGACTTTCTTAAAGTTTTTAGCCAAGTATTTTTCCCACGTATTCCAGACATATGACTGAAGGTGGGCAGACCCCTGAGTCCAGAGATCCCACTGGTGTGCTGACCAGTGTGCATGCCAGCCTCTGTGTGTCTTCTGTGTTTCATATGCTTGTCATTGACAGCCAGAAAAGTAAATCCAAGAGGCTATTTCAAAAAGCATCACAAAAATCTTCATGGGCATACTCTAGGTTGACAGATTCCTAAGTAGCCTCCTTCACAAAATAAAATATTCTAAGTTCAGTGTGTTTCTGTTATTAAGATTTTAAATACAATAAAAGAGCACCCTTGTTGAAAGGGGGCAATGAAAAATGATTTTAAATACAAAGTACTCATGCAACATCTAATTTACTTTTGTATATTTTGTCCTTTGCTTTTACCACCAAGTGTTTGGGTACATTGATAATGTTAGCACTCATATTTTCATCTTGGACATAAATTCTAAATACATGAAAAAAGCAAGAGAAATTTATCATCAGTTTAGTGTGTGTATGATCAAAATGAAAAGTACCTACTACCACCCAGCTAAGAGTCTTAAGGATTTACGTTCTGTCACAGAGTAATAAAGGATAGTAAAAGGATTTACCTTTCACTGGGTGTCACATGACAACAAAAGGCAATAGGCTTCAGCTTCTGCCATCAACCATAGTTCAACTGAGTGATTTTTTTTCTTTATTGAAAAAAAGAAAAAAAAAAACAAAAACATATGCTACAGTGTTTAGTATAGTAACTGCCCAGGTGAAATAACAAATGTCTGGGACTGGCATTGTACCATGTTGATAGTGCTTTGACCACATGAGTTTCAAGCTTTTTTTAATACCAGCTTGTTTTTCAGGTGCATCATCCCCTGCTCGACCAGCCACTCCTTTGGTCCCTTGCAGCAGTACCACTCCACCTCCACCTCCTCCCCGGCCTCCGTCCCGGCCAAAGCTACCTCCAGGAAAGCCTGGAGTCGGAGATGTGGTATGTTCCCCTCTGCCCTGGCTTGCCCGGTAACAGATGGTGAGAGTGACCAACAGGCTCAAAATGCCTTAACAAGGGACATCTCAACTTCAGGTCTAAGCATTTACAGCAATTGTGCAAGCAACCCTTACAGGTGACATCTGGAAGACAGTCACTGCGGGACGTTTCAACCCTCCTCAAATCTCTAGCATCTTTCAAGTCAAGGTCTGAAATGATAGGAATAGGATGGTTGGGCCTTCAGGTCTGCTACAGTGGGTTGGATGCAAATGAAGATAGTAATCTTCAATTGTTTTAAATCAGGCATCCTCAAACTATGGCCTGTGGGCCACATGCAGGTGTTTTTGCCCATTTTTTTTTTTTACTTCAAAATAAGATATGTCCAGTGTGCATAGGAATTTGTTCATAGTTTTTTTTAAACTATATTCCAGCCCTCCAACGGTCTCAGGGACAGTGAACTGGCCCCCTGTTTAAAAAGTTTGAGGACCCCTGTTTTAAATCCTTTAGAAAGAGTGTTTCCCAATAATAGTCTGCTTTTAGAAAACTCCAAGGGAGGGCAAGTCCTGGTTCCTGTCCCCAGAATACAGATAAGCTGTTGGTGGTAGGCACACCATAAAGAGGAGGGTGATGGTGTGATGGATCGTTTGCAGAAGTTTCTTGCATTGGGCTTTAACGCTGAGAGGTGGAAACCCCTCTGTGTGAATAGTTAAGAGACTCGCGGTGGAGGTAAATTTCTTTGGCATCTGCACACAGGAATCACAAACTGATGCTGTCCATGATATTTAGCTTGGCTAGTACAGTACACTATTTTGTATTTCCGTATCTTTAGATAGGTATGAGCTCTCACATGGTGTTACCTGCTTAGTCCCTGAGGGCATGGAAAGTTCACAGTCCCCAAAATGGACCTGCTGACCATGTCATAGATCCCAGCTTTTCAAAGCCTAACATACCTAGTGAGTTTAGCATGTTATTTACAGTTTCTCCAGCTCCGTTTCACAGGCTCCTGTATAGGTATAATTAATTTCAGTGTAAAAATGGTGTCATCTGTTCTACTTTAAGAACCTGAGTTGTCATATCCAGGGCTGGGAGATGTTAGAAATATGAAACAAAAATACTACAACCTGTGTATCTAACTTTTCATCTCTTTTCTTCTCCCTACAGTCCAGACCTTTTAGCCCTCCCATTCATTCTTCCAGCCCTCCTCCGATAGCACCCTTAGCCCGGGCTGAGAGCACTTCTTCAATATCGTCAACCAATTCCCTGAGTGCAGCCACCACTCCCACAGTTGGTAAACGTTATCTCCTCTCTTTTAATCCATTTGTAGTTTTGACTGGCTATTTTTTATGATCTGAAATTCCCAAATTCCCTACGTTTCTGGTTGAAATTGTTTTGCTGTGTGTTTTGCTACTATCACCTGACTCTTCTTTTAAAACCACCTTCTCAGCAAAGGAGGCCAAGTGCTTTACCTAAGCAAAGAAATGAATAAAAGAACGTGAACACCTGTGTTTCACAGGAACTTTCTTACGCTATTCCATACAGAGCTATTCAAAAAAAAGTAAAGAAGAAATCACTAAGGAAGGTCTTGTGATTTAGATCTTATTTCTTATAATAAAAAGAGTCTCCTCTGAGGGAAAATGTGTATTTAAACTCTGTGTACCACATCAGAAGTCACAAATTTGAGAACTTTTATTTTCTTGAAGCATTCATTTTGCTTTGTCATTTCTGGTTGTCCTTAGGTTGACAAGTGTTATACACATTGGCATTGTGGGACTTGAGCAAACTTTTTGACATTTTTTTCCTAGTGCTTTTCAGTGATGTGTGGTCAGTTTTCCCAGAGAAATAAGTCATTGCTGGCATTTTCAGTAAATGCCTTTGTACCTCTTTCCCTATGCTGTGATGAAAGTGAAGAGTTGAGAATGGCTGCCCAGCTGGTTGGTTTTCCCAGGTTTAAATGCCTCATTTTGCCTGGAGCGGCTTCCCTCTTGCCGAGGCTGGTCTCTCTCTTCTCCTACCTCCCATGGGCTCCTGCTGCGTCTCTCACTTTCGCTGCTGTCTCTGACCTCCGGCTCTCCCATTCCATTTTCCCCATGTGACCCCACTCCCCATTGTCTTCCCTTATCTGAACTCCCCTCCAATTCTTCCATGTTATAAACCAGCTGACCCATCCTGCATTGTTTGGGACAACCATTACCCAAAGCTAAATAAATTCTTGCTGCTACTTACAGAAGAGCAAACTGCAGAGCTCCCCATGTGAGAAGTAGTTTGATTAAAGCCTTAAGCTATTCTGGAGAAAGAATTGAGTACTTTCCCAGAGTGCTTCTTAAGGGTCCCCAAAGGGAATTTCAACTATGTCACGTGCTTTATATTTTTAATCAGACCATCCCAACAAGAACCCTTCAAATTTGGTAAAAATATAGCCAGTTATCCAGTTTGATGGGATTTATTAACAGATATATTTAACATTATTTGTATAGTCATATTTATTCTTTGCATCAATTGAGGCAATTTGGGGTTTCCTATCTCTCCCATTGGCTATTAGCTCATTTCTCTCTCATTTATTTGCTTGTTTTTTTTTTATGTGTAACAGTTATTTTTTAGCTCCATCTCTTTAATACACCTTGATTGTGAGAGCCATCCCCCCTACTCTGTTTTGTTTTCTCAAGATTGTTTGTTTCACCCACTCCATTTGGTTTCCCTTGTTGATCAGAGAGGAAAGTAAGAGTGAATTGTCACTCAAAAAGTGGAGCCCAAGTGACCTCAGGTGAACCATCTAACATGTTCTTTCAACTCACTGTAATTCATAGAGAAAATTGCACACACAGGGAATTTAAACTGTGTCCATGTTTTATACAATGTGTTTCTGTACTCCCTGCTGTAGAAATCTCAAATCCTGGCCAGCAACTTTGATTCTTAACACATCTGGTATATTTTCTTTCAAGATGAACCACAGAGGGCTTAAAAAAAAAAATAGCCACATAAGAAGATAGTCACATTGCTCCATGGCTGAGGAGCATACTGATTTAATCTGTTTGGTTTTGCTCTTTTTATTTGGTTTTCATCTTCCTGCTGAATTCCTCACTCCCCTGTTCTGTATTTCCTCCTGCTGTGGGTCGCCTGACAGCCACTTGTCTATAAAGTAAATACACTGTCAAATGACTATCCCGCAGTTTCTTGCGTGTCACTGTTCCTCTGCTGCTGCAGAGGACGTGCTTTGGCTGTTCAACACCAAGGGGCCTTTATGTCTCTACGTTTCCCTCCCACTGCCACAATACTTTTTTGACATTTCCTATGGCACTTGAGCTGAAATTGGGGCATGTATAATGGGAACCAATGAGCCAAGTTTATCCTAATTCAAGAACTAAATTTTTAAGGGCAAGTCGAACCCTTCTACACAGCAATTCATATAAGAAAATGCCCCTAAAGGCCTTTGGTATGAAATCTTTCATAAGAGCTGTGATTATAAAGTAGTAAATCTGATGCCACAGCTGACAGGACAATTTTCTGTGGATTGTCACGCTCAAATAATGAAGAGCTCCTACACAACTGCATTTTATTGAATTTAAGACATCCTTGATTTAAAAATGCTCCATTATTTTATATATGAATAAGAAAGGGGGAAAAGGTGCCAATTGAGCTAAGATGAAATATTTTCTTATCGCAGTAATTATTAATATAAGACCATCCTAATTTCAGACAGGATAGAATGTGAAAAAGCGCACATTTTAGAATCAATGAAATACAGCAAACTCTTTTTACACTCGAAGACTCTCACAGGACCTTGTATTATATGACTTGGGAGAAAATCCTATTAATATTATGGAGATAGGGAAAATGTTTATAGTTATTCTATTATAAGAAACAAACTCCTCAACATTTTTGTTACTTGTTTTTTTATTTCTATGGGTGATAGTAGTTTTTTTTAATGTTTGCAAAATCTTCCATAGAACCCACTGCAAAAAGACCACCATAAAAACAATTTTTCTTCACTGTTAATTATATTCCTTCCCTGCTAATTATGCATTTTAAGTTGTATCTTTAACAACCCAGGAATCTGTAATGAATGAAAAGTAATCATTTATGGGCACCGAAGGATGCATCAGATAGGTTTTGATGCTGTGTTCCTTTTGGTTCAAAACTTTCAGTAAAAATTATTTGTATCTAGTAGTAGAACAATAGCACCTAAAACATAAAATATGTCCTCTAAGCCTTTTTCTTTCCAAGCTGGATTGCAATTCTAAATTGTACAAGCTTTCTAAAGCATATCTGTATTAGTGCTAATTGTGCTGTACAAAAAGGCCTTCAGAGGTGGGTATTCCAGATCTCAAGAAAAAATTCCCACATTTTATTTTAGTCTCTTTTTTCCCCTCCTTATGCTATTTTACTGGAAAGGCCTGTCTCTAGTACTCCCATAGATGTTATAGGAGTTGCATTAACTTATTCTAGGCACCAAAAAAGCCACATATATAATAAAAACTGTGATTAACAGGCTATATCCTACAACCTTAAAAACTGACCCAAAAAAAGGAGTTTCCCTGCCTTACTCCCTAAGGAGGCAAGCTAATTTTCTGTTTTTCAAAGAACATTACTGTTTTTGGAATATTTTATACTGTCATCAATTTCCTTATATTCTCTATATTGTAGATAGGATTCTTCCTTACTGGTCTTTGTACAGATTATATTCAATTTTCTATTGAAAATTGTTGTAATAATACCCTAGAGACCTGTGACATTCAGTACCTTTGTTTTAATCACATGGAGTAAAAATCCCAATGACTTGCATTTGTTGGTTGGTGAAAAGCAAGACCTTGTAAAGAACTGAAACAGCTGAAGTCCAGAGCAGCAATTCACGATGTTGTGACCAATGTACAAAGACATTTAGCCACAGCTGGATACCGTGGCCAAAAATGAAATTACAATAATGCTGTTCAAAATGAGCAGTCCATAGCTATCAAAGGCAAGTGCAAGGCAAATTGGCTTTGGATATTGATGTGGCTAAAATGGGATAGTTCATGCAGGGACCTTGGATTTATACTGTTGCTTTTTTATGGTCACATTAAGAGCATCTTTTTGCCTATGGGAGGAAGGAGCATGCTGGGTGACCCCATTGAGCTCCCAGGGCTCTGTCAGGAGTCCTTGTTGATGGACATATGTCTGGCCACTTGAGAATTGTGTTGAAGTGAAATACACTCGCATAAGTCAATTATTAATGACAGTGGCTTTAGCAACTCCTGAGAAGGTGGGGCGTGACTTCTTCCCTGGAGCTGACTTCAGCAAAATTCACAGATGCCAGAAACCTGGTGTTGTTTTTTTTTTTTTTTTAATTTTACTTTCTTCTCATAGAACCATCATAAAATAAGCACATCACTTTTTTATATCTTACATGACTCCAGTGTCTTTAAGTTTTGTTTCTTTTTTCCATTACAACCATTTCTGTGTTTCAATCAGTAAAGTGTGCTGCTTGATTTCATTTGGGATTTGTATTTGTGTTTTTGTTTTCCATTCCTTTATGTTTCTTTGGTTCGTAGTGTCAGAAGATGATGTTTTTTATGACAAACTGCCCTCGTTTGAAAGGCGCTGTGAAACGCCTGCAGGTATGGTGCTAGCCGAGTGATCTCTAGATACCTAGATTTCAAAAATCCAAGCCATTATCCATCTGAATGCTGTAAACTTCATGGACATGCTCTTCACCTCATGAGTGTCCAGTGCCTCTCAGATGCACCCTGTGTATTTACTGTTCATCGTGGAACTCATGCCTCTGAAATATTTTAAGTGAATATATTAAAAAGCAGCAGGTTGCATGACAGTTTCTCAGTGAAAAGGTTCGAAAAAGGTGAGATGCTATTGCTTTGTGAATTTACAAAGTAAGAAATAATTTAACTGCTCAGAATTACATGTCTGGTCACTGCTTTTTAATTTAAAAAATAATAGAGCACCATTAGTAATCTTGTTTTCTCTTTGGTACATAGGTAAAGGGTGTTTTGTATCTGAATACCTAAGGTGATTCCAGGGGAGGGAATGGAAGATATAGGACATCTTCCATGACCTTTAAATTGATATGCAATGCTGTTGTCATTTAAAACCTAAGCTAGTGTTTTGTGCAACCTATAACTTTGAGTTGATCTTTTTGGAAACATAGAAGGAGATGACATTGAAGATGAAATGGTTACAGCAATTGCTGAATAACAGTTTGCCCAAATTAGTGCAGTTAAAATATGCTGACGCCCCTGCATGGCCAGGAAGACTTCTGCTCCATGCATACAAGCACCAAGTATCAAGCTACCAGCAACATGTACCCATTCCCTTAGGCCTCCATAGCTTTGCTTTTGCTTTCTGTTTCCTGAACTAAAAATAAAATAAAACAAAACATAGACTGCCAGCCTTCCCTTTTTCCTGCACGCTAGTGGCATGCAGTGCCTCCACCCTTCCCCATAGTGAGATTAATGACCTGCTCTGTAACTCACATTGTGTCCTTCTCTCTCCCTCTCCTTAACCCTTCCCATCCCGCTTCAACTCCTGGCCATACAGAGAATGAACAGCCTTCCCTCGTTTGGTTTGACAGAGGAAAGTTTTATTTGACTTTTGAAGGTAAGTAGTACATAGCATACCAGATTCTAATTTATATTCGCCTCATCCTTATCTCCCTGCCTGCTTTTCCAAATCCCAGCTCTCTTCAAAAGTTCTGGTCTCCCTTTCTATATGAAAATGCTATGGCTACTTAGAAAACATCAAACACTAAAGAAAACATTACATGAATTTGGTTGGTATGTGATCTCCAATTTTTCATCTTAAAAAATTAAAGCTAATTTGCAGTTAATATTGTTTATATAATTAACTGTGGTCAATTGAAAACAAAACAAAACACACCTTTTTTAACCAAGGAACTTAACTCTGTCAACCAGGGCTCTTTCCTAACATTTCTGCAAATGCAATGCAACAAATAAAAGGATAGTTTTGGTTAGTACTGGCATTTAACTTTGTTTCGGATAATTAATATTTCAGATACAACCTCTATTATTATAAAATCTAAATATCTATATATGTTCTTATGCCAAAGAATGCTATATAGGAGATCAGAAAAATGGGGAAAAGAATAAAAGGAGCATTTTAATAAGTTTGATCTGCATCTCCTGAAATTGCAATTGGAATGACTGACTGCAGTAAAATGGGCAACTATTGATGGACTTGCCTTTTGAGAAGATTAAGGAAAATATACATAAATATAATGTCAAATATCTAACCTCAATGTTTGATAATTTGTTATATTCTGCATTAAGGATTAGCATTCTTCTGTTTTGTATTTAAATTCTAAATCATCTTGACAGGCCAGGCATTTGATAAAATGGCACTTTTGAACTAATGGTGGGGGAAAAGTTAGGTAATTATTGGTGGCCTATTAACTTAATTAATAGGCCACCTTACATATTAAGATTTACCACATAAACTCCTACTTTCTAGGATTTTAAGTAGCTAAATTTACCCTGCAATCAAAAGTAAGGCAAAAAATATTCTACTCTAGAATCGAATCTAAATATTGAACTTGTCTTTATGTTTCACGGCAACAAAAGGAATTTTCCTAATTTGGGTATGTGTTTTAACGCAATTTTTAAAATCAGGTGGCTGATACACATATGTAGTCTGTATGGTTGTGACTTTTTTCTCTCAACAGTGAGCTTTGTGTGCAAGATGGTCCTAGAGATAGAAGTTCTTAGCTCAGAGTAGCTTGGATAACATCAGGAAAGATGGTCTGAATTCAGACTTTCCAAATATCCTGATGTCTTATCCTGGCTTGGCTAGAAGACAGGTGGATAGGTAGTCTTTAGGAGAGGATGTGTGTTCTGCACATGATATCAAAGCCTTCATTGCCTCAGATCATTGATTTTGTAATAACAAAGATACAAAATCCACAAACTTGTGACTTCCTGAACTTTCTTTTTGAATCAGATGGAATAAAAAATTGTCCAGGCATCTTGATATTAATCAGCACATCCCAGAAGCGGCAGCTGCAGTTGAATAGGTTGGTAATCCTAAAGTGTACCAAATACCTGTATCCGTAGAGCCCTTTCACTGGTTCCATCTGGCCACATCAGCAGCTGTAGTTTACCCTCTTTTAACCAGGAAATTAAGCAAGACACTATGGAAACCCTCAAATAATTGTCTGGGGCTTCATAAAAAATAACTGTAACAGTTTTTTTGTTGTTGCTGTTTGTTTTGGCTAGAGTGTGTATTGGCTCGTATGCTTAGGTTTTACTGTGGGTCTCTTTTTACAGTGAGAGAAATATTTTTTTGAAGATACCAGTCTAAAGATAATTTTGGTTGTTTTTAAAGATATATATTATCAATCAAACATAAGCATTTAATACATGTGTGGAATAACATATCATATTTTATAAAAATACAATATTTGCTAGTAGATTTTTGGGGTATCCCAAGTTTATAACATGACAATTCTAATTAGTAAGGCCCAACTCCTTGAGCATCTTAATTTGGGCCAAGAGAAGTCATGCAAGAAAAAGTTTTAATAGATATTAATTGGAGTCTTCTAAGATAATGTTATCTTCATCTTGGACTTTGTTCAAGTTTGAGAAGTATAGGTGAGGCTTCCTGAGGGGATATGTGAACAGCCATATCATGAATGTATGTGCCCCTGTATATCTCACCAAGAAACACATCCATGGATAAAAGTATATTAAAATGCACTTCGAGAGAAGCCTTAGGAGAAACTAAAAATGACACCTTGCCACCTGAACAAGAATGACTATGCTTTCAGAATGGAGAAAGTTTTGTTTTCATCATTTATATACATTAGCCTCAGGTATTTTTAGCTAGCACAACTTAGAAGGAATTTTTTTTATTATCTACTGTGATGATGACACAGAAATGATGACATTTTAATTTATCTGGAGGACAGTGCCCCCACATAAATCTGTATATTCCAAAAAGACTTTCATTCAACATATGCTACTGAAAAGCACTTCTAACATATTCTTCTAGGGCACTCTGGTTTTGCCCACATTTGTTATCATTAATATTAATATGTTCAATTCTTCATTCACGGACTGTAGAAGACTACAAAAGACTCTCATGTCAAAATACTCACCTGCTCCAAATAGTTTCTCCATTATTTATTGACTTCTAAATAGTGTCTTTATAGTGTTCAAAATCCTGCCCCACCTCATTCATTGTCTCGTTCTTACAATGCTTTAAGCATCAGAATCACTCAGTCAAAGTTTGAGCCACTGACCAATCAGTCAAGCAGGAAGTGAACATTGGCTTCTGAGTTATTTGGAAGTGCTTCACATGAAGTGCTTCACACTTCCCAATTTAATTTAACAAGAGAGATAGAAAAGTGTTAGACTGGTTCTAACTCACAAGAGTCCTAAAGTTTTCCTGAATATAAAGTTTTTAGTTTTACAAGCAACTTCACTGAAATTTCAACCTATTTATTTTAAGTTGGGCTTTAAAAAATGTAAAGGTTACAAGTGGTAATGACTTCTTAAATTCATCCAAGAGTATATCCTACTGAAGCTATTAATATCAAATATTCTTTTGAGGTGGAAGGGCAAGATATTTCCATGACAAATAAAAGATGTGACTGTTAGATTTTTGAACAATTCCCTTGAGTGTTTTAACATCACGATGTTTCTAGAAATGTACTATTCCTTTCCTTGGTTAGCTTGCTTGACTACAAAATCATCGTGTATGTGGTGGTGAAGAAAAAGAGGCCCTGCTATCATAAGTCCATGGGTGTGAATACAGTCTCTGATCTCTTGCACACCCTCATCTCCAAATAGCTCTGTGCTCCTGATTACTGCTCTTCCTCCGTCATTCTCATGGGAATGTCACAGCCGGAGCAACACAGTTCTCTACAGTTTCTGTCTCTCTGCTGTACTCGCCCACCCATTCCCTTGATGGAATCCCAGCCCTGTCCAGGGACCGTCACTTCCGTAGCACTGTCCTCGGGGAGTTCTTCAATCTTCTGTGGGCCATATGGCACGGGACTAGGAGGCAGAGTTTGGATTCTCCCAGCTCCCTATTCCACTTCCGAACACTCCCTGACCGTGAAGAGCAGCCATCTGATAATTCCACCCTCTCTGCTTGTTACTGTAGTTAGCAAGTCAGAGCATTCCTCTGCATTTATCTGCAGGCTTAGAGATGCTGGCAGCTTTCTTGGTGTCCTCTGCTCCATGTCACTTCCCAGCATCATCCCATGGCACAGATTCTATGTGCCGGACCCATCCAACACCCTGGCTCCAGGGCCTCTTGACTTCAGCTCCAACAACCTTTCTCTCCACTCTGCTCAGTAATTCGCACCTCCGACCACACCCTGGCAAGGGTTCCCACCGGCAAGTGTCATTTTTGGCTATTTCATAACAAACGATTCGCCACCCTTTTTGTATACCGAAGACTATAATTGAGCAATGACTCTTTCATTCAAAAACTATTTATTGCGTGCCTACCATATGCTAGCACTCTTCTGAGAACTCCCTGGTAGTGAACAAAACAGAAAACATCCCTGTCACCACGGAGTTTATGTTAACCTTCTAATGTGGAAGGTTAAAAATAAGATAAGTAAGTAACATATAGAGTATGGAGATGGTAATTAATTTTACAGAAAAAAATAGAATGGGGAAGGAGAACAGAGCATATTGGGGGTTGAAATTTTAAATTGAGGGATTTGAGGAAATAAAAATAATGAATAATAATAGCTAACATGGGAGCACTTCCCATGAGCGAAGTACTTTTACATCTGTTATCTCATTTTATCTGCACAACTCACTGCTGATGGAATTGAGATTGAGGTAACATAAATCACTTTCACAGGGTCACACAGCCAGGAAGAGGATTTAAGCTCAGGCTGCCTAGCTGGAGACAATTTGCTCTACCACCTCACCCCCCTGTGCATACATGACCTCATTCGGCCTTTGCATCAGCAAAGGTTTTTCCCTAATCTCCTAACTGTCCAGCTCTCTAATTCCCTAACACCGTACCTTATTTTCCCCCTTTTAATTCTAGTTGACACATAATAATTGTACATATTTATGGGGCATAGAATAACATTTTAACAAATGTATACAATGTGTAATGATCAAAAGGTAATTAGCAGGCCAGGCACGGTGGCTCAAGCCTGAAATCCTCTGGGAGGCCGAAGAGGGAGGATTGCTTGAGGTCAGGAGTTTGTGATCAGCCTGAGCAAGAGTGAGAACCCCATCTCTACTAAAAATAGAAAGAAATTAGCTGTACAACTAAAATTATATAGAAAAAAATTAGCCAGGCATGGTGGTGCATGCCTGTAGTCCCAGCTACTCAGGAGGCTGAGGCAGGAGGATTGCTTGAGCCCAGGAGTTTGAGGTTGCTGTGGGCTAGGCTGACGCCATGGCACTCTAGCTTGGGCAACTGCAAGACTCTGTCTCCAAAAAAAAAAGTAATTAGCATACCTGTCACTTCAAATATTTATTCTTTCTTTGCATTGTGAACATCCAAAAATCCTCTCTTCTATAATAGCTTTTTGAAATATACAATAAATTACTGTCAACCATATTTACCCTACAGTGCTATAGAGCACTAATTCCTCCTATCTAGCTGTA